TGGACAATTTCGTGCGAATCGTTATGGCGGCTCTAATTTTTATGCGTAGCTGCGCCTGCTCGTGGCGAAGCATTTAGCATGAGGCTACTAGCGCATCGGTAGTGGCTCGCTATCGCGGAGAAGTTTGCTGGGTGTGCACGTATATACGTAATATAAGCGCGGTAATGCCCCTCGCGGGAGTTTGCCACACTAACATCTATGATAAGGGAGTAGCACTTTTCTCTGCAATTTGCGTCTAGATGCTATCTGCAAATTATTCGCCGCGATTTGTTAAACGCGTTACATTCCACGTTATAGCATTTTAAGAAGAATTTTTCGATAGCTCGAGGAAAGCTTATCTCGTTTGCCCAGTCGCGCGAATTGTAAGAGGTAAAAGTATAATATCTCTACGAATTGACGTGGATATATATACATATATATATATATATATATATATATATATATATGAGTAGGTTAATTCGGTTCATCTCCTCTTGCAAATAATATATAAACGTCGCCATGTTTTTTCATTTAAAACGTTTCTCCCTTACGTACGAATATTTCTCGCGAGGTGTTGCACTCATTAAAGTTGTACAAAGCATTCTGTCTAATATCCTTCTCGTTGAATAAAATATTGACACGTGACGTTGTAAAGAATGGCGTCTTTATAATGGAATTTTAGAAAAGAGAAATAGGAATTTTTTCCCTTTCGATTCAGCATCGGATCAATCGAGCAACTGATCGCGAGCATAATAAACTTGCACAATAGCTATCTTTGCACAAAGGTAAAATAAAAGAAAGAGATTAGTTTGAGAAAAAAAACACGATCGTTCGATTTTAGGTTCGTTTCATTCATCTCCACTACCTTTTCTCGATCCATTAAATAAATTAAATTAATTTCTCTCTTTTTGTGAATCCGATATCCGGTTCGAGATATTCTACCATAAAATATTGCATAAAATTGGACATAAAATTATCGAATTATTACTCGTGCGAATTATTCTCGATCCTATATATAATAATAATTCCGAATTTTTCGATAATGATTTCAAAAATATATGTTCTTTTTATTATTAACTCGTCTCGACTAATTGGACGAGATATACGAGAGATCGTGTGTGCGATTTGATTGGAATGCAAAATGGTAGTAGGTAGGCTAACAGCAGTAGGGGGGGGGGATGGTGAACAGCGCGTAATCGAGGCCTGCTAATGATCTTGTCGCCGAATCAACCGGACCGTCGTTACTATTAACGATACATTCGAGATGAGAAATCGCGGACGTTAATGCGATTTCACGACTGGCGCGCATCGATCCCATCCGCCAGATATCGCCACCGCTCCGTGTCACGGCTTGATTGAAGCGATCCGTGAACGTAAACCGGTCCAATTAAATCGGTTCTCGTTCATTCTCCACCATTTTTTCCCCCACCTCCTCTCTCTACCTCAATTTTTTTCCCTCCGTTGTTCGATCAATTTTATTTGCGCGCGCGTATCCTTGTGCGTGTCTATAAACTTTCGAGTCGAGTGTTCAATTAGAACGAGAGTCTAAGAAATCATATTGGGATAACGGGGCGTCGCGCAGTGATTCGATGCGATAGAAATTAACTGGGTAAAATTATTTTATTAAAAATGTATATATAACTTAAAAATATAATTAAATATATAAAAAGAAAGTACATAATAATAAATATATATAAATATACAAATATTTGTGATTTGAATCCTTGAATAAAGCAGCGCAAAAATGTTGTAGCATGCGATTAACTTGGAAAGCGCTTCGAATTTGATAATTTGATAAATTGGATCTTGAGAATTTGGAAATGGTATTCCAACGAAATATTAAGGGAAAGATGCTTATTAAAAAAAGAAGTTATATCCTCAATTTTGTTCTATAAATTATCTGATAGATATAAATAATTTTACGAAATAACGATAAAAACGATGAAACTGAAAATTATAAAACGAAAAAAAAAAAAAACAAACTGTTGAAGAAAACGTACCGAGCGCTCAAAGGTTGAAAAGAATAAAAAAAATCTATCAACTAAAGTTAGGAATAATTATTATTACTTAACTTTAAGTTTAATTTACAAGAAAAAAAAAACAAAAAACTTATCGATAATTTATGATTTGTGATTTAAATTAAAACAGGTGTTTCCACATGTTATAAAATCCGTTATTATAGAATTAAAATTTAAACGCTTGTTAAAAAATTTTCGGAATTTTTAAATTTTAAAATTTATCGATTATATTTAATCTGAAATGAACAATTATTATACATTGAATTGCTTGCGAAGAATTAGAAGAAGGTGGCCGTGATAAGGGGACTACGATCCGCATAAGGAAGGGTGAAAAGATTCGTAAATGATCGTTGTTAGATGCACACTTGCACCTTTTATTCAGAAGTCTATTTCGAGCACATTAA